CTTAATGACTACTTATCATTGCGTCCAAAATCCAAATAACTTCAAACTCATATAAAAGGAAAGCCAAAAAAAGATGGGTTCCCATTGCAAGTAAAGTGTGAAAGAACACAAAAATAAGATCATCTAAAATAATTGAGAGAAAAAATATATAAAAAAAAAAAGTAAAGAAATGGGTAGTGAAAGTGTTCCAACAACAAAAACTTGTAAAGAAGTAGAATCTTTAGTGGTTCCTCTTCTTCCCAACAAAGAAATTGATGATGTTGATGCTTCTTCTCTTTATGATATGCAATCTCATGGTAATTACAACTCTATCATCTTTTTTTGTTGCCGAGTCATTGTTATTCTCTGGTAATCAGATATGAGTCAGTTTTAACAGGTCGATATGTATCGATATACTGATGAATATATTTTTTCATGCTGTATCTTGTGAAATATAACAGGAACATGGCTACACTGTGGATACCATTTAACAACATCAATAGTAGCTCCACCTCTTCTAAACTTGCCTTATGCTGTTTGCTTACTTGGATGGAACAAAGGAATGATGTATCTTATTGTTGGAGCTCTTGTTACTTTTTACACTTACAATTTGTTATCTTTGGTTCTGGAGCATTATGCATCTAAGGGTCTCCGATTTCTTCGATTTCAAGACATTGCTGAGCATATTCTTGGTAAGACTAACACCCCTACACCTGAAATTTCCTGATTTATGGTGGATTTCGATATTAATAATTAATCTGTTTTATATTGATGATAGTTTGATATAGACTAGTGGCAGATCTAGAAAAATATAATTTCGCGTTAAAAAATATTTGAAGTAGGAAATCCAATTTTATTTTCATAAAAGCATTCCTGTCTTGACTTGTTCTTAGCACAAACAAGTAACATATATATATTACTAGCACATAATAGTAAAAATACTACTCCGTAAATAATAGCAGTAATAAACTTAGAATTAATGTGTAAATATGGTCTTTGAACATATACTATGAATTTGACAAAAGTTAAAAGTATGTGAAGAAAGTAGAGCAACTAGCTAGTGTAATCCTCTGTTTATCACCTCTGCATCAATATTTTCTGAGACTTTATATGCTGAGGTTTTGTTATCGAATCTAATGTACCAAGTACTATAACAGGAAAGGCATGGGGTCGATATTTCGTGGGGCCGCTCCAGCTTGCTGTTTGCTACGGCTCTGTGGTTAGCTTGATCATACTTGGTGGACAATGCATGAAGGTCATTGCTATTCCGTATAACTACGGCTTTGTTCTCTTCACTTGATTTCTAATGTGCTTGAAAAAACAATGATGTATTACTACTACAGAGTTCAGAGAACTAATGCTGTTAGTTTTGCCTATCTGCAGACAATTTACTCTCTGATATGGCCAAACGGCGAAGTGGAAGTCTATCAATTTGTGATGATGTATGGAGGTGCAGTACTATTGGTGGCTCAAGTACCTTCGTTCCACTCGTTAAGACACATCAACCTAGTTTCTCTAGTTTTATGCCTTTCCTACAGTGCATTTGCTGCAGCTGGTGCCATTTACATAGGTACAATAATAATCATCCTACAGTTCAACTATAGATGAGTATATGCTCAAAAATCTGAGGATTTAATCCTAGCATTAGTGGTTAATGAATTATGATGTGTTTGCAGGGAATTCGTCGCCTGAACCAAAAGACTACTCAATAGTTGGGAGTACCGAAAACAAGATATTTGGATCTTTCACAGCAATTACCATGATTGCTGCGTCATTTGGGAATGGAATCATCCCCGAAATTCAGGTTTGTTCCTCTTCTATATTTGAAATCAAAGACACGATGACTGTAATGTCTGTAAGTATCTAACCAAATATTTTACATCTTACAGGCAACTATAGCAGCACCAGTGAAGGGGAAGATGTTCAAGGGGCTAAGTCTTTGTTACACAGTGGTGATCTTAACTTTCTTCAGTGTTGCAGCCTCAGGGTATTGGGCCTTTGGTAATGGTACTAAAAGTTTCTTAATTGACAATTTCATCGACAACAATGGCAATGTTTTGGTGCCTAAATGGTTTCTTATTACGACAATCAGCTTCATTATCCTACAAGTATCCGCTGTTTCTGGGGTAATTACATAACATCTCTCTTATAAAGTCATGATCTTATTAGCATTCGTTCGTTTCAACTTAGAAAGAGTTTTTTTTTTAGGTGAAGAGAAAAGACTTTTTTCCTAGAAGTGATTTCCTATATATCAAAGTTACATCTTAAACTAATTAGTTTCCTGCTTCAAACAGGTGTACTTGCAACCAGCTAACATACTTCTAGAGAAAATGTTTGTTGATCCAACGTGTAAACCATTTTCCCTTCGCAATGTGACATCAAGAGTAATCTCAAGGTCCATCTCCGTGATGATAGCCACTACCATAGCCGGCTTGCTGCCATTTTTTGGCGATGTCAATGCACTCATCGGAGCATTTGGCTTTGTACCCCTCGATTTTATCCTGCCTGTCATCTTCTTCAACTTGACATTTAAACCATCCAAAAGAAGTTGCATTTTTTGGTTGAATCTCATCCTTGCATGTGTTTTCTCGTTAATTATGGTAATCGGAGTCTTTGCAGCAACCAGGCAGATAGTTCTTGATTCTAATGCCGTGCAATCCTTGGATCGTCTTTCTGATTCTTTGAGGCTGCCTTCAGTGGCAAACAGTGCTTGGAATTCATTATCAAGTTACTTGGCTGAAAATACATAATCCTATTTCTTCAATAAGTTCATTGAAGCTAAGCATGGATGGCAATTCCATGATCATAGTCCTAGAGTATAAACATAGAATATAATAGTATACTGTAAAGTGTATATTTACTAAATTCTTTCATTGATAGCCTAGACAATGGGATTAAACAGGAAAAATGATTAGGTATATTGTATGTATCCTATGTACTCTATTACATAAGATTGAAAATTAATTTTTAGAATAAGATTAACAAATTTATTTTTGGAAAAAACCTGATGAATTTTTGGAAAAAGATTGAAAACTCATTTTTAGAAAAAACCATTTATGTGATGTATGATAAAAACGTCTCCCTTAATGTTCTATTCTTGTGCCCTAACAACTGATAAGTCATCGGACAAGGTGAATTCCATCAAACATGTTTTCATCGAATTAAGATAACCGATTGAAGAGATTGCATAAAAATGAATAAATAGATAAACAAAAATCAGCATTTTGTATAAAATTCTTATAAATTATTGTCATTAATCAATCATCTTTGTCACTTGTTGAACCTACATAGTATGAAAAAAGATTTTATAGAAGGGCAACTCATTGAATCTTTTATATCTAAAGATTTTATAGAATGGCAACTCATTGAAGATTCTATATCTAAAAGATTTTATAGTAGGGCAACTCATTGAAGATTTTATATCTAAAAAGATTTTATAAAAGGCCAAGAGGTTAATGTTGAACTTAATAGTAGAATTTGTTATATACACTCGGGTGTACGTACACCCAAGTAATTCAAGGTTAGTGTTTGCTTTTCATTTGATGATTAAATAAAAAACAATCTGAGAACAAAATACTCATGAGTGTACGGTCCACCCGGGTGTATATAACAAGTTCTCACTTAATAGAGTTGACTTAATAGGGGAACAAGAGGTTAATGTTGAACTATTTTTTTCAACTTTAAGTCTTATTGATTTGTGTATTTTATTGCAAGAAATTCAATCAAAAACAAAAAATATCGTTCTCTTCAATTCAAAATTTGATAAATATCGTTCTCTTCAATTCAAAATTTGATATTTCTGATTAAGGTGTTGAGAAATTATCTAATTTGCGTGAAATTGACATATCATGTCCCTTAGACAACAACCTGGAAATCATTAACTTTGTTCGAATGCGTCTGTAAAGTCACCTTAAATCCACTGGTTATTATAGCATTCAACGGCATACAAATACGTGAGGGAGCTATCTTTAAAGATGACACTCTCCATCTCACTGTAGACATCAAGTCTTTTACAGCGTAAACAAAGAGTTAATAATGTTTTAGATTTATCTAATACATACTAAATTCTGTTAGGGTTGTTGGTGAGTGCATGACAAAAGTAAATTAAAAATGTAGAGATTGATAAATAATTAAGAGAAAAATATAGGCAAGACAAGTAGTAAAAATGGACACACAATATTTAACGTGAAAAAATTATAAAAAAAACTCACGAACGACAAGCGCCGAAAAATAATCCACTATATGAAAATAGGAGAGTACAATAACTCTTGAAAGGGTGAGTATTACAACAGAACTCTCACTATAGGAACTCATTGAAACTCCGATCATGATATCTTAGAGAGCGGACATTTATTGGTAAATTCTCTCTAAGCATAAATAATGTATGGAGGGACACTCATAAAGTGTATATTATGTATCAGATTATTTATTGATGTATGGAGGTGGAAGAAGTGTGTGGAAAATTCTACACACATGCTCTTTAACTTCTCTACATAAATCTAGAGTCATCGTGATCATTCACTATTTCTATATTATTCCACAATTCTCCATCAATTTCTCAATATATGAGAATTTTCTAAAAAAAATTGAACACCTTAAGATGTAACAAGTTGGGCTATGAAATTTGGGCCACACTAACCCAACAAATTCAACTTTCTTGTTGGATCTAGATGTCCCCACATCAACTTGTGATTTTGGATTTGAAGAAGAGAAATGTTTCTGCATTATGATACTTGCAAGTCGCAATAGTAAGGGTGAACAACCTATACAATGTAACTTTTGACGATGTTCATTTTCATGTTGTCAGTAAATAGTCTGTACTAGTTGTGCTAATGATATTAGGACATTAGGTAAAATTGGTTTTTTTGGGGAAAAAAATTAAGATGCAAGATGATTAGGAGAGTATAATAAGGCAAGCACTACCACAAGAGTAGTTTTTACATTAGTTTTAGGGTTATTAGGAGTATTCTTCAACACAATCAACAGGAACAATTTTTACATTAATTTACTACGAGTATCAATTAAGCAATTGTATGTTATCTTATTTCATAAATGAAGACAAAGATGATTGATTTCTTATGATGAGTTCAAGCAAAAGTTACGACCTCCGACGATGAAATTATCAGCAACACATGACAAGGTGTTCCTGTGTTCCTATTGAAGTCAATAAGTTTGGTTACCTCATATGTCCAAGTAGCACATGCTGGTTCCAATGTATAATACCCTCTGATTCAATAGCTTTGCTAATAGTAGAATTCAATCCTAATTGGAATTGAAAATTCTGTAATATATTGGTAAAAAATAGAAAAATAGCTTGTAAAAGGTTAGAGTCTCCACTTTGATATGGATCTCTCGTTAAATCACTGAAATGAACTAGTAATTGAGGGTGTCCTCTGAAAAAGTGCAACTCGTAGGAAGTAGTTACTCTGGTACATCTAACTGTCCGTACCACTGTTGCCATTTAGCAGCTGATTCTTCTGGTGTCCTAAAAGACCAAATGTGCTGCTTTTCTTTCTCACGTGTTTCCAAAATTTCCTGCACTCAACAGATACACTGCTCAGGTCTCAATCACAAACTGAGTAGAAATCATACCATGCATAAATACAGCAGGAGGGGGGAGACGAGCACCTTATACAAGCAGGAAATCAATAACTCACTGAATCTCTTACTAAACAGTAGACAACATTTCGTCCAAGGAAAAAAAATAACAGTAGCTAGGGCCTTGTTCACCTTGAAGTACAAATAACGAATACCACGGTCATCTCACTACTAGAAATAAGCTCAAATAACAGCCAATAAGTTTATCAGAAAAAAAAAATCGGGTGTTAAGACCATAACCTAGATCTTTGCACCTGCAGCTCTAAAACCAAATAAGAAGGGAAGCAGAACCATAGTCCACAAGGCAACTGTATGATCTCAAAACATGAAATTTGAGACCAATTAGATCCCGATATTCTAACCTCTAAAATCCATTTATGATCTCAAAATATGAAATTTGAAACCCATTAGATCCTAATGCTCTAACCACTAAACTTCCTTTAAGATTTTAACCAAAATCTTGTTCCATTTTTCCTTATATTTCTCTATCTTCCCCTTTGTCTATGCAGATTGTTTGATGCATATCCATTGAAAACAGCCTCACCACCATGAATACTAATTAGGAAAAAGGCTGCATACAATTGGTAAGTTGTTCATCACTTCATTGAGAAAAGGTGTTGAGCAGGCTATCAGTCCTTCCCTCGCTAGATTTGAATCAATTGGCAAAAAGTTTATTCAAAAAATTGTGTTTAAAGTACAGAACATTGGTGGCAAATCTGACTATAAAATAGTATTGAAATTCCTTGAAGGGCCTAAAGGCCTTACCTTAGGCAAAATCAAGTTCAACAAGCACCCCAAGAGAAGGAAAGCTTTGTTTGACCAAATTTTCTTAAGTTAATGTAAATGAATCTTCACAAGGGCAAATAATAGAAACAACTTCCATCAACAAGACAATGAAGATAACAGGTAAAGACAAATAGCACAAATCTAGTCAACCAAAACGAGGCAAAATGCCCATACACATTCACTAAGAGGGAAAGCTTCTAGAATATTTAGGATTTTAATAATGATTGTGTAGGCTTGCAATTTCTTTGAATCAGCTGGTTAATGCCAACCAACAACAGATTATAGCCAAATCGAACATGTTACTTTCACCAAATGCAGAATTTAAAAGACTGTTGTCTTTCCAACATTGTTTTGTTTTCTCTTTCTTACCCATTAAATTCATGAGATAAGCATTTGGTTAGATGATATTTTGAGCACAAATGCAGACTTTGTTGAAAAGGCGGTTGACACTACAAGAACTTCCAAATTGAGAAATAGAATCAAGTTTCTACCTGAAAATAACTAAATATCTGATGAGCACCAGAAATGAATTTTAAAATAAAATAATAAGTAAATAAATAATGACAAGAAAGGCTTCAGTCTGGTGGTGCTCAATTGGAGACTTTGATTAGCTCATCGGACTAGGAGGAGAAAAGTTCATTTTTCCTTTTACCCAACTATGGCCTAGTTCTGTTGGACTTACTTTGAGTTATTTTAGACAAATTAAGTTCAAGTAAGTTCATTAAATTTAAATAAATTGAGGCAAAATAAGATTTTTCAGATAATTTCACACACAAATAAGTCTATCTAAACTATACATAATTTGACAAAACCTTCTAAATCATTCCCAATATATAAGGGAAAAAAAGAAAAAAACATAATTATGTGGAGGTCATGTTTGATTCATCTTAAACTCTTAATGAGTAATTTAATAGATTAATAGTCAAAAATGTGCATTGGAAAACGTGCAAATTTCAATGTTTCAAACCAGAAACACCAATAAAAAACAGAGTAACTTCTTTCAGACAAAATATGATCATATAAGTTCATATTAGATAAGTGACAAGATTAATCGAATAAAACAGAGCCAAAAATATCTCTGACAAACAAGATCCAAAAGCAAATAATTATAAAGCTTGCGCTAGATTGTGTTCATAACTTTTCAATGCTTCTATATTAGTACATGATCTATTCTGCGAGTACCAATTGATCCACATAATAGGATAATTAGGTAGAATGCAGGAAAAACTTGCCAGAAAACTCTCTATAACTACACATGCTTTGATTACTTGGCTACATAAGGGAGGGTATTTCCATAATAGCATTAGTACCTTATGTGAAAGCTTCTATTGAAGAAGGCAGTCGTCTGACTTAAGCAGTTAATCCAACATATTGGCAAGAAAATTGAATGTTATTTGGGATAGAGTACTAGCACATTTGCACATGGGTTTACTGAGATACACTTGCATGTAAACTGTCTAGGAAGAACTAACACTGTATTTGGATAGAATTTTTGGAAGGAAAGGGAGGGGAAGGAAGATGAAGGGGAGGGGTGAAAAAAAAAAACCAAATCCCTCATTTGGATAACAGAGAAAATGAAGGAAGAGAGAGTGAGGGAATTTGCTTGTTCTTGTGAATTTTACCCATTGCTGAATTAATGTGTTTGTTCTTGTGATAATATGAATTGACTCAATTTTTCAAAATCAATAATTCACATATCAAAATTTGAAAATATAAAATTATGGAAAATATAAAATTCTTTCATATAAATTTTCCAAAATAAAAAATTTTGGAAAGCAAATTTTCTTCCTTGTCGATTTTCCAAAACGAAATTTTCTGAAAATAGATTTTTGCAAATTAAAACCAAAATTTCTGAAATTTGATTTTCAACAAAAAAAATTCTGAATGTTGGTTTTAGAAAAAGAAGACCGTATTTTCTGAAAATTGATTTCCGAATATCAAAACCTTTTTTTTTCCAGAAAAACGATTTTTGAAGATCATAATCAATTTTCTGAAACTTGATTCGTGAAAATAAAAATCAGATTTCATGAAAAATCGATTTTTGTAAATCAAAACCAGAAATTATGTATCTCAACATTAGAATTTTTTATACGTTAAAATCGATTTTGGAGAACAAAATTTCTTATGATTGAATTTTTAAAAAGAAGAAGAAAAGTTCGGATATGGCGAATGATGTGGCGGAAGATGACGGCTTGTGGTAGAGGTGACAAACGAACAGTATGTGCTGGAGAAAATAAAAACAAGTTTTCCTTCCAAATCTTCTCTAATTTGGAAAGATTTGTTTCTTAATTGTGGAAGGAAATAATTTCCTTCCATTTCTCTTCCTCCCAATTCCCTCACCTCCCATTTTTGCTGTCCAAATGGAGGAAAACTCATCTCTTCCTTTCCCTCCCCTTCCCTTCCCTCCATTTCCCTCCATCCAAACAAGCTGTAAGAGGGTGAAGAAAAAAGTTTTGCCAAGTTCAGAAGGTTATCTATCAAGACTGACACAGACGTATCTAAGTTTTCATTTCCTCATATACCGTTTACAACATAATTGAAACCCTAGGTGGGGCATTCTAGCCATGCTATTTCAGCAAATTCTAATTATTCTATATGTTTCTCTAGTTTCCAATATCTTCGTCTTTATAATGAGAATAATCTTATGACTATCCAAGTCATATTAACTTCATAGTCCAGACTTAATACACATGGAGAGCAACAATTGCCCCATAATGCATCATGCATGGCACTTTAGATCTTCTGTTGCACTTCCAATAGAATTTCTTATACACCAGCATGATGAATAAATACAGCAATATCAAAGCTATTCTTAGAAGAGCTTCTGCTGCGCTGGAATAGGGGCATAATAGATTATTTAATTAGATTACCACACAACAGAGTCAGTATCTCAACGAGCCTCACCTTCTAGGAAGGGCAGACTCAGAGACTATTTATATACAAAGGGAGACCATAACAACCAGCTTTAGTTGATCATCAATACACCTTTACAGCGATCCTAAATAGAACTACCCTGATTCCCTGAAGACTGTTCTATAATCTATCCTTTGTTAAAAAGCTATGATCATTCCCAGCCAACCAATCCCATATATGAATTCGAGAACGCCATAAGGTGGATTTTATTCCATATTCCAAGGTATCTTCTTCTTCATAATTGACTTCTAATTTTCTTTATAACCTTTAAGCAAATTCAGTTGGCTTCAACATTGATAACGGTGAAATACCTTTAAGATAGAGACTAGATAAGCATCCTAAAACTGTCGGTAAGCAACAGTAGCAATTTAAGAAATCATAAACAAATTCAAATTTCTTTTGCTACTTGTTACTCATTGTTTACAAACTTTCAACCTTTCCCCAACCCTTCCTTAAACATAATTTAAATAAATAAACTATAAAGCGAGATTAAAAGTGGCTCATGCCAACAACTAGCGGAAATAAACCTAGTACGAAGCATTGACAAACGAAGAATGCAGCTAAAAGATGAACATTACATGACTGGAACACTAATTGATGGTAGGTTTTATGATTTTAATGACAGAATCGATGAAGCTTGATCAATACATCAGCAAAAGAGTTTTTAAACAGACCTGCAATTCAGCTGAACTCTTAGTTTTCAAAGTCAAGCAATCAACAAGATTACTCCACTTCCCTGAACAATTGTCGAGAACTCCAAGCCGATAATATTGCTGCACCTGATGAACTGGTGCTGTAGAAAAACAGAAGCAAGTATAAACAGAAATTTGGATCAATTAGAAAAGTGGGTAATCTGATTATTATCTAAAATTACAAGAACAAACTCCTACAATATGACTGAAAGCCTGAAACAATTTTGAATGATATTATACAAAATTAAGAAAGATTTAGCACAAATAGCAGCAATTATCAGCAAGAAAAAAGGGGGAGAATCATATAGAAATATAAAGACAAATCATAGAACTTGCACTGGTAATAATTCAATAAGAGTGTTGCAATCAATACAAACTATGCTAGTAAAATACACACCAAGAAATTAACACTTTTCCGCTTATAATTACCAGATTTCCTTGAATTTGTGAAAAAATAAATACAGGAATATAATTGTGAGAACAAATTGCATGAATAAACAAACTAATTATAATATAATTATGATTTAAATTGTGACAAATTATAGTTGAAATTGAAAGAAGAAGAGAGGAGAGAGAAAATACAATAGCAAAACCAGAGGGCGTCGAAGCAAGGCATGCAGGACACCCGCCGCCGTGGAGCTTCCTCCCCCTCCGTACTCATCGCCGGGATTTGACCCGTAGGCATCCAATGTTTGGTTGATATTAGTAAAAGAAGGGAATTAATCTATTGTTTATTTGTTTGGTATGACATTAGTAAAGGGAAAAAAGGGAAGGGGAAACTAATTTAAGTTCAATGGAATTAATTTCTTTCTTTTGGGAGAAATTTTGGGAGGAAAGGCAAGGAAAAATTTTGTTAAGGGAGTTTTCCTTCCATTTCCCTTCAAGTCCGAGTCGCTCGGATTTTAGGGGTGGGGGAGGAGCGATTTGGGGTTTCGGGGTTGGGGATGAGTTTTTAGTGGTTTTTGTGGGAGTCTGGTAGGTAATGGGAGAGGCGGGATGCCGGAGTCAGGGTTGTCGGTGCAGGGGAGGTGGCTGGGGCGCCGGCTGGAGCCTGGAGATCGTCGGAGAGGTGAGTGTTGGGAAACGTTATGCCGGCAGGGAGGGAATAGGTGGCTGGTTTTTTAAAAAATTAATAATGATAATATATATAATTTTATATCTTTTAAAAATTAAAAATTTAAAATATTAAATAAATTAAAAAATCAAATTAAATTGTCAAATCAATCAAACAATGACACGTGTCCCATATACTCATTAATCAAGTCACCAATCGGTCATAATTTGTTTAAAGTGGATGACCCTTAAAATTTGTATTAACAGAAATAATTAAAAGATCGACTTGTTTTTAGCGGACCGCTTAAAATTTGTATTATTTTTGACAATTTTTCCAATTAATGATGCACACATTGACACATATAAGTAGAAGCAAAAGTCAAAAAAAAAATGAGAAAAGAAGTTAGCTCTATCAATTGGAGTTTGCGAATTAGGTTGGGGGCCACTGATTTATGCATACCCCCAAATTGATAACCGCACATTCCATAATCAAATCTCACAACTTTGCACATGAGAAAGCAAATTGATATTTAACTTTTTCTTTATTTTATGTATTTTATTTAGTTATTAATCTTTTTTCTTTTTTTTTCTTTTTTTTTTAGTGGCTTTTATTTGTTCTAATTTTGAAACAAGTGTTAAATATTTCTAGCACACTGACAGTAGTTTCCTACCGTGAGTCAAGTTTGATTTTTTTTTTTTCTTACATAAATATAAAATGACATTTTTTTTTCTTCAAAACAGTGACATTTTTTTCTTCAATAAAAATGACATTTTATAATCAATCTGATATTATAAAATATTAAACATCTTAAATTAATAACTATGATTATCTCAAATTAAGCAAAATACAAATGTTCGGCAAAAGTTAAATCAACAAATATTGTCTCAAAAGATACATGAATACGATTCATCAACCAAAGCTACTCTAAAGATCTTGTGCCAGTAACTTCGAACTAACTACTCCAGTGACGAAACTTACATCCATTACGACAAAACTACAACAGTATATAATAATTAGTTTAGACAATTAAACATAAAACCAAACTACGAAAAAAAAACACATTACCTTAATTAGTGTCTTTGCACTTTATATCGTGGACATCACATAAAATCAAATATTCTCGACCTTCACAATATTAATTAAACATGTTAATATAATATCTTTTATATAATAATACAATAGCATGACAATGTAAACACAACTTACCAAAAAAAAAATTATCTTACGACGAGTTATTATAATTCGAGCTTGGAGGCAAAAGGTTCAAATCAACAACAAAAGAGGTGGATGGACTAGTCAAGTCATTCAAAATTGGAGGCATGAAGGACATTGAAGAATTTGAGTAGTATTTTTAGGACATCTTCTACGATCATGGTTCGTGTTGCCATACATGTTGCACCTTATGACCTTTTCGACCATCTCAAAAGCTAAAGGATCCTTCTTTGTAGAAGTATTTTGTTTTTTCTTTTTTTCTTGAATTAGTTCCAAGAGTTTTAGATTGACGAATTATGGGTTCAAGAACCAAGGACTTGAAGAACTAACAAATTGGGAAATTTGTTTTTGAATACCTTCTTTTTGAGTAAGAAGCAATTGCTGATATTTGAGTTGTAACTCTTATACAAGCACATCAATCCGATCTCCATGAACATCTTGATTCTCTCCGTTCTTTGAAAGTGATATGTTGTCAATTCTCCACTGGTAATGAATGTTGTCAAGCTTTAAATCCTCATTTGTCATCCTTCTCATCACGTGAGCACAAGGGAGACCCATAGTTTTTGAAAACTGACCTATACAAGTAGGAGACAAAGAATCAGAATAAGCTAGCTCAAATTTGTTAAGGAGTTTTCTTAATGCAAAATGAGAAACATAACCTATGAGCTTACTTAAGAAGGGGATACGCAAGTCATGAGGAATGTGTATCTTCTCACTCAATTGTGTTTTAATCTCATTATATTGATGATCAACAGCATGACAAATTTTTTCCTTCACTGTGCGAAGGTCACCACTCGAAACTTCAAGGTTTTTCTTCAAAGTAGCATGTGAACCTCCGGCTCTAGAACTAACAACATGCCCAAAATGCATATATTCACTTGACCATGCTCTAACAAAAAAAATTTTCCATGGAAACCAAGTATTCTGAATGTAAATGAGAATTTCCCTGTACTTCCCATACTTCATTTCAAATTCAAACCAAGCTTCATTAATTGTTTTTCAGTTGAAGATTTAATCAAATTTGTCCAATCGGACATAAACAAATCCCATTCATCACCATCATCAAAAAAAGGCTTGCACTTTGCTAAATATTTTTTTCAATGTGCCATACACACAACAAATTACAAGTATTAGGGAAAACAACTTTAATTGCATTCATCAAAGCCAATTCTCGATCAGTCACAATCACCGATGGTTGCTTATCACAACCCAAAATCTTACCAAATTTTTGTAGTGCGCACACATAATCACTTTACTCCTCTTTAAATAAGAAGGCAAAACCGCAAAAGAAATGATGTATTAAAACTAGTAACTCCAATAATATCAAGTAAAGGCATTTTATACTTGTTAATCTTATAAGTACAGTCCATCACAAAAGTATATGAGTAAATTCTTGCTAATGCAATCGAACTTGGATGAGAAAACAACAAATGTGTCACATGTCCTTCATTATCACACTCAACATCATAAATAAAACCACCTTTACCAAGTTCATCCATCAAAGCTTGGATCATTGAACGACCTCCTAGCCCATCTTTAATAATTTTAGCCTTCACATTATAAAGTGTTCTAGATATTGCTTTTAGATTAGATTTACCTTTTTGAAGTTTTGTAAGTATCTGCCGTGGAGCAATGCCAACAGCAATCATCTCAGCTCTTTAATCTTATTAACTTCCTCCCTTGAGAAACGTCGGGCATAAGGATGTCCCGAAATATCACTTGATAAATCATGGTGATGAGAAAGATCTTTGATTTCGACTCTCCAACTAGTGTCTTGGTTCATTATTCCACAAATTTGAAATGGGGAATTCATTAATCAGGTTCCTGACTTTTTCTTTCCACTATTAGAGATATGGCTACAATTAGTTCGATATGATCCACCCCGATCACAACCAATAATAACCCATCTATTTTTTTTTTTTTGGATTTTTGAATCACCGTAACAAAGCCTTGTGAGTAGTCCATTCCCCGAACAATCTCCAACAATGTTTCTCTATTCGAAAAATTTTGTAATGAAAGTTGATACATATCAGTGGGTATTTGAGGAGGTTGATGATTATCAAATTGTGGTGAACCTATACAATCAAAAAATTTAACAAGAATAGTCATAAAAATATATTCTTAATAATCAAAAAGCCATCAAAAATATACACTTAGCCTACTGCTCAGAGTTCAATAATAGTACTCTTCTGGTTTTGATTAACACCAAAGTTAAAAAAATCTAATCTTATTATACTATTTTTAATCTCCAAACCTTAAAAAGCTGAAATTGAGACATATAATTTGCAAATAAACTGATTTAATACAAAGGTAAAACAATATTGGAATCAACTTGACTCATTATCAAGGATTATGAAAAATTCCCTTTAAAACCCTAGATTAATTTGTAATTTTAGAAAATAACACCAGTAAAAACCCAAAATTTTGATTATAACACCACAAAATTTTAAAGTTTTATTATAACACCACTTAAAAAATTAAAATCTTGGTTTCACCACCTAAATGGTTACGACGTTAGAGGAACTGTTAGTTAGGCCCACTACAACGGCTATTTTTTTCAAAGTCTTTTAAATAATTGCGATATCCTTCACAATCATTCAACTGTTGATCTGTTTACACAAAATTAGGGTTCAAATTTTGCGAATTCAACAATCCAATTGCCCAAATTGTTTGATTTAAGCATCATTGTTCGAGGGAGGAAGATTTGAAATCAGGTAATTGTGTCAATACCACTGCAGAAAACCCTAAGTTATCTTTCTTAAATGTTATGTAAATTAATCTATGTTGTTGAATTAAGTGCATAATTCAGTTCACATGTGTAAGTAATCATATAATTCGTACTTATTTCATGAAGTATGTGTGTTAATTGTCCTCATATTTGCGAAAAAATGAACTTAGGGTTCATCGCAAAAATAAATTAGGGGTTTTGATTTTTAGGACTGATTGTTTAATTTCCTTGGTTCATTTGTATGGTTTTTCATGGTAGGAATGGTTTTGCTTATTGTGGATGGCATATTGATGCAGGAAATGTCTTTCATAAGTTCCTCTCCTTTAAGGGAGAAGAAGTGCAAGTGTGGTGTTCCTTTTGCGAAGCTTACCAATTGGACAAGGGAAAACCCTGGTCGGAAGTTCGGAACATGCAAGTTCTATGATGCTGTAACTGAAAGCAGGGGTTATAAAGCATTTGAACGGGTGGATAAACCTGATGGGACAACCTGGCAAACAGAGGTGATCAACAATATGTTGTTGGACAAGAAGCTATTGAAGGGAGAAATTACTGACTATAAAAGGGAAGTTGATGATCTTGGTAGACAGATGAGGTGTTTGCTCAATGAAGTGGACAGCCTGAAGATGAAATGCAAGGCTTTAAACTCAGACAGGAAGAAGATGAACATAGAGATGCATGGAAGAAATGGAAGATCAGAGCACTCTGTTCATTATGTTACTTTTGGGATTAGTTTAGTCATGTTAGTGATGGTAGTTATTAGGGGGTTTGTAATTCTTAAAATGTAATTTGTCCTAAGGCATGAACAATAATACTAGTAATGCTTTTGTAATGGTTTATAAGTGGCATTGAACCACTTTTGCAATGTATTGTATACAATATTTTAGATGGAATGATTAAAGCAACTACTTAGTAATCTGAAATTGCATTGAAACCAAATGAGAAAATTACTTGCATTTCTTAACAAAATAGCCTTTTAAAGCCTACACCGGAGTATGACTTGATGAAAATAAGCTTACAATGCCTAACACCAAAATTATGAGTACAAAAAACAACCTCTAAGTGTTACACTTAGTCTACTGCATGCTAATGCTCAAAATAACAACCTAAAAGTCTAGTTTAGAAAAAGGAAACAA